TAAATCGCATGCGATATTTAATGCGCATCTTGTCAGAAAGCCGGTTCTGTAATCAGCGGTAAATCTCCACCTGCGTGCTTTCACATTGAGCAGCATTAACTACACAGAGCCGTTGTTCACTGACGAGCTGCGCAAAAAATCGCGCGAATATGAACGTGGTTTAGCGCAGCTCCTCAGTGAACAACGGCTCTGTGTAGTTAATGCTGCTCAATGTGAAAGCCCGCAGGTGATGGAGATTTACCGCTGATTACAGAACCGGCTTTCTGACAAGATGTGCGTTAAATATCGCATGCGATTAATCGTGCAGCCCTACTCACTAGCATACTAGCATAGAGGCGTGGCTGGCGTCTATGATAGTCATATGCAGTCATGCATTGAAACCCTCCATAGTAGGTGAACTTTGCAATTTTTTAATCTGAACATAAATTATTTTTGTAATAATTGTTTTATTAATTTTCCTTTAATACAACATAATCTTGCCAAGTGATCATTCCATTAACAACATGTAAGCGGGGAAAAAAATTCCAATTAACTTAGCAAGCATAAATAAATAATTTAGCAAGTCTGGAGAGATAAAAGTTGCACTTTTTAGATAAATATGTAATATAAGAGGTTTTGATTGGGGAAAAACTTCAGTACTAAATCAGTGATCACTACAAAAAGGGATTTGTATCCAGGGCAGAGACAGTTCAGTGCTTTTTCAGCCTATCCCATAATGCCATCTGCCCTTTTATGTTTGAGTGAATCAGTCTCTGTTTCTAGGCGCTCTTGTGCTGAGTCCAACAAGACTGAAAACAGCTGTGTGTGCATTATTGCAGGAGAATGAGTGAGGCAGAAAAGAATGAGTTGGATGGAGTGGTTTGGGAGTGACTAAAGTGGAGATGTAGTATGTGTATGTGAAACAGAGGTTCATTATTAGAACTAGCATTGCTGTGAAGCTATAAAGACCAATTTAAGAAGTCAAAGTGTGATTTTTGCACATAGATGCATGACCAATATATTGAACAAAACTCTGTTGCCTTCACTGTTCATCAATACCAGTTCAAGGCTATACCTGTGTGTGACAGAGAGAAAGGCCAGTTTAGTGAATTCTTCCTTGCTTTGTCTGAGCAGGTATCTGAGATGGTGGTACAGAAAGACCCAGGTTGAGAAGAAGGCTCCTTTTATTGATATGTTTCGGGCTTTACCACTGAGACAAATTTATGGTAAGCGCAAAGACAAATAGAAACATCAAAGCAACAACAACTCTTAAAGGGATAGTTCAACCAAAAATCAAATTTCTGGCATTAATTACTCATTAATTACTTCGTTTATCTTGAGAGAACAAATTAAGATATTTTTGATGAAATCCCAAGAGCTTTCTGACCCTGCATAGACCGCAGTGCAACGTAGTAAGGACATCGGTGGTTCAACCTGCAAGTGGTTCAAGCTGTGAGAATACTTTTTGTGCACAAAGAAAACAAAAATAATAACTTTATTCAACAATTCTTCTCCTCCAAATCACGTCTTCCACCATTTTCGGGAGTACCTCTGCACTGAACAACGCATGCGCGTGGTGCTACTGATGCATGGTACTCTCCATAATGGCAGAATACATGACTTGGAGGAGACGAATTGTTGAATACATTTATTTTTATTTACTTTGCACACAAAAAGTCTATTCTAGTCTAAATCTATTCTCATAGCTTCGTAAAATTGCGGTTGAACCACTGATGTCACATGGACTATTTTAACGATGTCCTCACTACCTTTCTGGACCTGGGAACATTTCAGTTACATTGCTGTCTATTGAGGGTCAGAAAACTTTCAAAAACATCTTGTGTTCCGAAGATGAACGAATGTCTTACGTATTTGGAACGACACAAGGGTGAGAAATTAATGACAGAATTTCCATTTTTGGGTGAACTATCCCTTTAAAAGGACCCAGTGTAACAGAGGACATGTTTTGTGTAGGTGCTCCTCTTGGTGGCATTGGCGGAGGCAGTATCACGCGTGGATGGAGGGGAGATTTCTGCCGGTGGCAACTAAATCCTGGAATGTACCACTACAAAACCGTTATTGCTAACCAGGTAAAGAACTAGTGTGATCCAGTAAAATACCACTGTTCAAAAATTTGGGGTCAGTAAGATTTGTTTTTTAAAATAAATTATTCAGCAAGGTCACGTTAAGTTGGTCAAAAGTGACAGCAATCACATTCATTATGTTGCAAAAGATTTCTATTTCAAATAAATGCTGTTCTTTTGAACTTTCTATTCAACTGTTTTCAACATTGATAATAATGGTTTTGAGTACCAAATCAGCATATTAGAATGATTTCTGAAGGATCATGTGACACTGAAGACTGGAGTAAATGCTGCTGAAAATTGCAGCCTTGGTGAGACTTCTTTCAAAACCATTAAAAAAAATTCTTACCAACCCCAAACATTTGAACTGTAGTGTTTAGTGTTTAGTATTTAGAAATTAGTGACTGTTGGTATGTGTTTCACAGTTCTGGGCAAGTGTGTGTTATTATACAGTATATGCAGGTGTTCAAATCTACCTTTCACCTAGTTTGTCTATTTTAACCCCCTCTATCTCCTAGTTTACAGTGTGTCTGCGCAGGTGTGATCAGACAGTATACCAGCAGGTGTTGTCTATGGAGCGACCCCCGACTCTTCAGGGTTGGAACTGGGGTTATTGTGGTGAATACGCCTTTTACCATGCTCTGTACCCACGAGCCTGGACCGTCTACCACCTGCCTGGCCAGAATGTCACTCTCACCTGCAGGCAGGTGTCACCTGTCATCCCTCACGACTACAAGGTGACAAGCTGTTTAGAATGTTTGATTGTTGCTTTTATTTATAATTCATTTATATTATATATTATACACTTTCCTTTACACAAAAATGGCAGCATACAGTAACTGTTCAACACTGATAAAAGTGCTACTTGTAAAGTTTGCTGCTGTAATGCCTGCTGATTATTCGACTTTGCCATCACATGGATAAATTACATTTTAAAATATATTAAAACAGTTATTTTAAATGATTATAATTCAGAATATTACTGTACTTATATCAATATTGCAGTTTCTAAAATCTTTTTCTCATTTTCAGGACTCCAGTCTTCCTGTGGCTGTGTTTGTGTGGGACATTGAGAATAAGAATGACTACGCACTTGATGTTTCCATCATGTTCACGATGGTTAATGGGTCTGGCCATAAAGACGATAAGAGTGGGGGCCACTGGAATGAGCCATTTCACCTGGAAAAAGATGGAGAATCTGTGTCTGGGGTGTTACTACATCACCAGATGCCTGTCAACCCTTACACTCTGTGTATAGCTGCAAGAGAAAAGGTAATGCGCCAGTGTAAATCTAGAAGCAGCAGGTTTTGCCTGTAGTAAATGCATGAAAACAACTCACAGTGCACAGACAAAACCACTCTGCTAAACAGGTTTCACCATCACACCGCTATACTGTGTGAGCTCCTGTTTCTCTGTGCAAATAAGTGCTTTGTGGGTGACTGATTGCTGTGGTTCACAACAATAAACTATGCAAAGATACTGCTAATACCATGTAAACCATATGAGTGCTCTTTAAATGTTTTATCGAGAAACAAGACTTTAAAGACAACTTAAACTGTTGATAAAGATATGTTGATGGAATTCAGTGTTGTTTTGGACCCCACTGACTTTCATTTTATGGACAAAAATGGTTAAAACATTCTTCAGATAATCTTCTCTTATGTTCCACTGAAGAAAGAATGTCGTACAGGTTTGGAATGACGTAAGAGTGAAATAGTGATGACAGAATTTATATTTTTTCGAGTGAATTATCCCTTAAAATCTGTCTAGGTAGGCAGCTCACTAGGTTTTGAGGCAGAGCTGTTGTTGTTCCTCTCTTTATTTAAAGTTTCACTTTATTTTAGTCTGGCCAAGAGATCAGTCACCAGACGGCGTTTAGCCCAAAGGGAACCTGTAGTGCTCTGTGGAGTGACCTCATGACTGATGGACGGCTCGACTCACCTAAGGACTCCAGCCCACCCACACAGAAAGGGGAGGAAGTGGCGGCAGCCCTGGCTGTGAGCTGCTCGGTGCCTGCTAACAGTCACAACAGTGTGGAGTTCAGTTTGGCCTGGGATATGCCAAAAATCACATTTGGCTCCAGAGAGAGAATATATGAAAGGTATGTGTATATGCAGAATAGGTCAAATGATAAATCCCTTCCTTTCATGCAAATGATAAATACATCACAGTCATGATTAATGATTTGTTACTTGCTGGTTGGTTGTTAGTGGGAGGGACATTCTCACTCTAGAGAGCATTTGATTGGACAAAAATCTGTGTAGAGAAACACAATGAGTCATCAATATTTTTGGCCTGTTTTCAGAAAAGTGAACAATTGTACATTTTGAATGTGAACAGCATAAGTTATGGAGGGAAAATTTGTTTCAGTTCAGTGAATCCAGATGAGTAAGACCATGATGCATAAATATTTTAATGATTGAAAAAAAATGTATCATCAATGTTGTTTTTTTGACATCTCCAATGTATAGTGACACATAATATGCTCTATGTCTTGCTCTCTAATCTCTTTGTACACATTATGGGTCAGGTTACCCTAGTATGTTTTCTTAGGTATGTGTGTAAAACAGAAAACCCTACGAAGTGATTAAAAACATTTTTGTGTCTTTTAATCTATATGCACTACCGTTCAAAAGCTTAGGATCAGTAAGATGCTTTTTTAAAAAGAAATTAATACTTTTATTCATCAAGGATGCATTAAATTCTATTTCTGGTAAATGCTGTTCTTTAGAACTTTCTACTCGTCAAAGAATCTTGGAATAAATATCTGTTTCTATACAAACATTAAGCAGTACAACTGTTTTCAAGATTGATAGTAATATTTTTCATGAACACCATATTAGAATGATTTGTGAAAGATCATGTGACACTAATGACTGGAGTAATTCAGCTTTGCCATCACAGGAATTAATTACATTTTAAAATATATTAAAACATACATTTTTAAAAATTGTAATAATATTTTACATTCTTACCATTTCAAATGCAGCTTAAGTGACTTCTTCCAAAAATATGAACAAAATTGATCAACTCCAAGTTTTTGAATGATAGTTTGTTCCTTTATAGACTCAAATGTTTACAAAAATGACATATATGTGCATTATTGATTTACAGTTGTTCTCTTACCTGAGAAAAATATGAAAGGGCTTAAAAGAGACACACAATTTGATATGTCTTGCCATACTTCCTGTTTCAATAGGAGACAGTGCTTTAATGCAATTTCATGAGAATTTTTAAGGGAAGTGGTGTGGCTGTGTATAAAAATAAGTTATATTTACAAGCTGCATGAAAGGAAGGGTTTGAGTCAACAGTCATACAGTTCAGTTTGTACTCCTTACACATTCATATTAGAGCAGCAATGCTAGTTTGTTTAATCTCAGAGAATCCAGGAGACAATGATGCATAAATGCTACAAATGAAAAAATGTCATTGTTTTAGTTTGCATTACATTAATGAGAATGAGACTTTATTGCATTACATTAATGGGAATTGGGGGAAATGTGCTTAATTGTTATATGAAGATCTTAATGGTCTTAGAAATATGCTTCATTTTGTTTATAGACTATATAATTGCATTTGAAATGATGAAATAATACCCATTGATGCTATGAAATAATAACATTATTTGTGTGGTGTTTGTTTCAGGAGATACACACATTATTATGGCACCAAAGGAGATGCTGCCCCGTCTCTGTCTCACTACGCACTCACACACTACAGTAAATGGGAGGAGAGCATTGATGAGTGGCAGAGGCCGATTCTACAGGATGGGTAAAAAGAAATGTCTTTTTCCCATGAAAAATATCAAGCTTGAGGGCATGTCAGCCTGTCCTATCGGTTAATCAAGTTGTCTGCTGCCCATTTGTGTGACTATCGTTCATCTGAAAGACTGTGTGTAAGCAAGCAGTCGTCCTTCCTGCAAATACATTCGACTACTTATTTAAACGAACAGGAGAGTAATGGATTTATCCATTATGTGCATAGACAACAGTAGCCTTTATATGCCATTTTGCACGTATTACTAATTTTGTTTCCACAATCCCCTTCATACTGTTGAGTGCACTAAATACAGAATGAATTGTGTATGCTTTGAGTAGTGTTGCCCGAGTCACATGCGACATACTAATTCCAGGTGTCCACCTATTGTTTCAACATAAGGCATCTATTCTTTTCAGTTGCGCGGTTGATTAATCTGTTGGTATTTGGCCGTTTTGAGATTAGAAGGATTGGCGATATCCTTTGCTAGCTTGGCAAAATTCTTTGTTGTGTCAGTTTTAAAAAATATACTGACAGCCCCGTCATTGGGCAAACCACATTTTCTGTTTTTTTTTTAAATATTACTAAATATTGTGTGAAATAAATGTTCACTTAATGTATTTCGACATCCATTCTGTGTATGTTTCACCACCGGTAGACTTAAACACAGTGTTGTTCTAGGTCTCTTCCGGCTTGGTATAAGTCCGCTCTGTTTAATGAGCTGTACTTTGTTGTGGATGGTGGAACCGTGTGGGTGGAGCTTCCAGAGGACGCTGACATCAGCGGTGGGCTTCGTCCTGAGGATGGGGGGCTTCCAGCCCAGCCTGAAGTTGTCAAGGATTACGGCCGTTTCGCTTACCTAGAGGGTAAGAGAGTAGGGCTGTAACATTCAACATGAACTTAACATGCAAACTAAACTCAATATTTATTTAGAACAGGTTTATAACATTTGATTTGTGTATATAATTATGTATGCCATGTACAAAAAACCATGGTAAAAAATATAACCAGCATTGCTGAGAGGAAATCTGTTGCTACTGAATTGTAATCAGTGTTATTTTAGTATTATTTATATACTATTATAGTATTCATTTTGAATGAGCTTTTATTTTTTATTTTCAGTTTTAATTTGTGTTTTAGTAATTTTGTCATTTGTATTCGTTTTTTTATATTTCTATATAGCTTGATTTTATTTATTTATTTATTTTTTCCACTTTTAGTAATTTTAGTACTTCAACTAAAAGTAGTTTATTTTTGTTAGTTGCCAAGGTAACATTTTATATATATATCTTTTTCATTTAAAATTTTTCATCTAAAATGTATATTTTATTTAATTTCAGCTTTATTTCAAATACTGAAAATGAATTTGAATAGTTTTAGATTAAATTTAGAATTACACTTTAGATCTTAGTTCATTATACACTAAACGTTCATTAAAGTTTAAATCAAGGTGATAAATAAATTCTTTGTCTCTCGCTCCAGGTCAGGAGTACAGGATGTATAACACATATGATGTGCACTTCTATGCTTCATTCGCTCTCATCATGCTCTGGCCCAAGCTGGCTCTGAGTGTGCAGTATGATATTGGTAAGCTAGGCTCACATTTGAACATTGAATGTATTTGAATTCATTATTAATTATTTATTTTTAATATTTTGTGTTTTAAATTCATTTGCAGATTTTTTTCTCATACTGTTTTGCATTCTCTCTTTGTTTAATTATACTTTTTTCCCCTCTCTCTTTCATATTCAGCTGGTAGTGTCGTTCAACACGATCCTACAGAGAGGTTAAATCTAATGAATGGCCGATACTCACCAGTCAAGACCCGGGGTGTTGTACCTCACGACATTGGAGACCCTGGTGAGTTGTGCATAATAGGATACCATGAAGTCACACGTCACATTTGTCAAAGAGAGAAAGAGAGTTCACCTAAAATAGAGATTGTCGTCATCATGAACCCCATAATAATTTTTTTCTTGCATAATGCATTAATGTTAAATTATTAGAAACACATTTGAGTGGTCTAATTGTAGCTACCGTATCTCTTTGTTTTTTCAAAATGATTCATCTCATTTTATTAATGTCAATAAAACCTACTCTTTGATTTCAAACAGATGATGAGCCATGGGTTCGTGCCAATGCATACATGATCCACGATACAGCTGACTGGAAGGATCTGAACTTGAAGTTTGTGCTGCAGGTGTACCGAGACTATTACCTGACCCAGGATGAGCAGTATCTGAAGGATATGTGGCCCATATGCCAGGTGAGTTTTTCTCTATTGTATTTTAGGATTTTGTGTAAAATTATATCCTCTGTATATGCAAATGTAAAGTGACTTGTCAAGTTTTAAGACACATTACCCAAATATCTGATGTTCTGGCTTATTTAGACAGTTATGGAAACGGAGTTGAAATTTGATAAGGATGGTGATGGGCTGATAGAAAATTCTGGCTATGCAGACCAGACATATGATGGATGGAAGGTGACAGGACCCAGGTTAGGACTCAGGAAGTTTTTATTTTATTTTATTTGAAAATGAAATATATATTTTTTTTTTTTCAAATTTCTCAGAATATGCAAATTATGTTTTTTATTTTAAAATTATATTTTAAAATCCTGTATTATGACATAAGTTTTGTTATGGCTAGAGTAACAATATCCCTGTGTTTCCCTGTGTGGTCTTCCAGTGCATACTGTGGTGGTCTGTGGCTGGCGTCAGTGTGCATGATGTGTAAAATGGCACGTGTGCTGAATTGCGAGTCTGTTTATCAACGCTACAGAGATATTTTGGAGAGAGGAAGAGCAGCCTTTGACAAACTCCTGTGGAATGGTAAGTGTAAGCATACACGGTGCCTATTTAAAACAAAAGTGGTCTTCCAGCAACCACATTCAGTTTAATGCATTCATTTTCCCCATGTGAAGTGTCTTTCTCCTTCTCTGTTAGGCAAATACTACAACTATGACAGCAGTGGACAGAGCATGTCTAATAGTGTAATGTCAGACCAGTGTGCAGGCCATTGGTTTCTCAGGGCATCTGGACTTGGGTACGATGACTACCAGGTAGTCTGAAAAACATTTTACAAGCATGTTTTAATATGATCAACATTTGGTTGTGTTTGTACCACTTAATGTTCATTTAAAAATAATTTTGAATGGCTTCATTAACATAAGAAATATTGGTAACACTTTACAATATGGTTCAGTGCCTTAACATTAATACATTAGGTGTCATAAAATAACCATTTACACTACTGGGGTGGGTAAGATGTTACCTTATGCTCGCTAAGGCTGTATTTATTTTAATAAAAATTTTAAAAAATTGTAATAATGTGAAATATTATTACATTTAAGGTGTGTATATATATATATAATTTTTTATATACTTTTTTTTTTAATGCAACATTCCTTTTATGGCAAAGCTGAATCTTTAGCAACCATTACTTCAGTGTCACATGGTTCTTCAGAAATTATTCTAATATGCTGATTTGGTGCTGCTTAATGAAGTGTGATGAAGAGAGAGTTCTTTTTCAGGATTATTTGATGAGCAGATAGTTTGAAGAACAACAGACTTTTGAAAAATTATAAATGTTTATAAATGATCAGTTTCTTTAAAAAAAGCAACAACAAAAAAAACCAGTGTTAATTTCTACAAATTAAATTTTGTTTACAAATTTATATTGATATGAATTCATATGAATTGCAATAGAAGTATTGTTCATTGTTAGTTCATGATACCTAACAGCAAATAATTCAACCTCATTGTAAAGTTTTACAAAGTAAAATTAAAAATTAACAAATAAATAAATAAAATGCTGTTACATTAATTTTGCATGGGTCACTTAGACTCCAGTAGGGGTCAGTGTTCTATAGGAAGAGTAGACTGTGGATGGGAACTAACATGAATTTTCTACACCCATTTCTCTATGCAGGCTTTTCCCAAGGAGAAAATCTGTAGTGCGCTGAAGTCAGTGTTTGACCTCAATGTTATGAGCTTTTCAGACGGGCAGATGGGTGCGGTGAATGGGATGAGGCCAGAGGGTGTGCCTGATCGTTCCAGTGTCCAGTCAGATGAGGTGTGGGTGGGAGTAGTGTACGGATTAGCAGCTACAATGATACATGAGGTAATCAAACCTCAGATCATATCACTAGGTTCCAGATTAAGTCAATCTGTTAATTAACTCCTAATACAACCCGCTGTCTTTTTTCCCAGGGCATGATAGAAGAGGGAATGCACACTGCTGAAGGCTGTTACCGCGCTGTATGGGAGCGAATGGGAATGGCCTTCCAGACTCCTGAAGCATACTGTGAGAAAGGCATTTACCGCTCTCTCGCTTATATGAGGCCTTTGAGCATCTGGGCAATGCAGCTTGCACTAAACAATAGACCAAACCATGGCAAAACCACTGATAAAGATGTGGGACAGGACTGAGCTGGAGCCTTATACATGTGCTAAAGGGAACTTGTGCTGTTGAGCCTCCATAATGAAGTGACCTCTTAGTTTTAAAAGACCGCAAAGAACTTTGGAGATAATGTCATCATGCATGAGCTGTCGGTTCACACAGAACCTTAATTTCCAGTTATTTTGTAAAACTGACATTTCCACTAAAAATGTGCATAAGCTTTACCACAGTCCTATGTAGCAGCTATAAATCATAGTTTTACAAATGGGAGTGTAAAGGCTTGGTCTCAGTGAACTGACATACTATTCATTATGATATTGGATTTAGGGTCATTGATCTTTGGGAATCAATAAGTTAGAGCATGATTCTATATAATTTTCACTGTATAGGTTCACAGTATAATTCTGATTCTGATTCTATATTTTTATTTCTATTATGGGAATGATCTATAGAGTACTTGAAGAAAGAACTGCTGGTTCTCTCTCTCTCTCTCTCTCTCTCTCTCTCTCTC